ACAACTGAAGAATCATTTTGGCTGACACTTTCTCATCAGCATTATCAAATCAGCGTCCTTCCTTAGGCTGCAGTGCGAATATATGCATTTGGTCATTTCTGGCATCAGTCTGCAAACTAAACAGTCTCAAGTTAAAAGTTGGATGTTGGAGTTAAAAGAAAGGTGGGGAAGGAGAAGTAGGACCATGCATGAAGGCAGTATTCAAAGTGGTAGTCTCCTAACAAGTTACACGGTGAAGTATATAATTTGTTACATTCAATATGGATTCACGCACTCCTACTGGTTTCTATTAACCTTATCCATCTTACTACTTCTGTTGCCCAGTTTCGTTAATTATTTCAAAGGGATTTTGGAAAACCTAGTAACCTATGACAACTTTCTTCCTTTTACTTATTTCTGCTGATATGCAGAGAAACATTACACTAAATTTAGGAGACACTGATTCGCTTTGCAGTTGCTGGTTATTTTTTGCAGAGCCAAGCAGCACTATATCCCATTCAATTTGCCTTTTCGCCACATTTTAGCATGTTGTCGAAGTCTCCTATCACTACCAGCCACTTCTGAGTTTTTCTTGTTAAGATTTCTACATTATTATACCATGATTTTACAGGTTTTGATTACTGAAGAAAACTTAAGAAGTGTTAGTAAAAATGTTCTATGGCACACATTAATTGTACCAGATCTACCTCAAACTGACCTGCTGTTTACATCTGAGCTGCTATTTACGCCTTTTTCCTTTCTAATTGCATAAGTTACTTTTCTTTATATCCCTAACAGAGCTTATTATCCCTTAGGTTTCTTTTCCTTTGTTTGTCTTCCTTCTCTTGGCTTGGTAAACCTAAATAAATTTTCATTTACACGTATTCATATAATGATTTTATCACCACTAGTTGGACAGTAGATGCAAGACATCAGGCCAAAACCAGCCTGGAGAGTCAGAGTACAGCCTTGAGAGATTAAATATTTACTTCCCCTACTGGGACTGAAGATGATAAACAAGTAAGTCACAGAAGTCAGTGCCTAGAATGGCACCCAGTGCATTTTTAAAAAATCCTGAGCAGCTTATGACCCCCTGCAGCAAAGAATGCCACAGGTAGCACAAACAATTTCCTTTTGCTAAACTTTAACAAGAGTTCCTTCTGTTATGACACAAATATGGAGCTTTTCAGTTTGTATTATCGCTCACAGCTCCCTCTCTATTCCTTCTCTCTTGACCACTTACACCTGCTCTTTGTAAGTGCCTATTTTATATATACTCTCTCACACCTACCCATTTCTGTGAACCAACTTTAGATAGTACATGTCTGCTCTACTGCAAAGACTTACAAAAAAGCATTAAACAAA